CACCCGGTCACCCTTCCGCAGTTGCTCGCGTCGCGAACCAAGAATTATCGAGAAATCGAGCGAACCGGCGCGATCGTAGCCGGCCAACTCGTTCCGTAATTAACGGCAGTCTTTGGAATCGAACGCCAGGCCCTGGGGCAGGGAGGGGCGCGAATCGATGCTCGGCGAGCAGGTGAAACGACCGGCTTCGTGGTCTGGGTTAAGAACCTTTTTAGTACGATGTTCCGCCCCCCTCGTTCGCGATTCTTAGATAAAATGTAAATTCGCGGACGCCTTGCTTTCCTGTAACTTCGTAGATACCGCTGTTGATACCGTTGCTGATACCGCTGTTCGTGATTCAAACAACGAGACCTCTCGCGCAACTTGTTTCGCGGTATAAACAGACAATAGGGGGGCTCCGGTGAAGAAGAAGAAATTGAATAACAAGTGGCTGGGTAGATCAAGAGAACCGTCGAAACGACGAGCGCGAGTCTGCCAGGGCATCTTTCGCAGAATTCCAAGCGGAAATTATAATTCTTTAAGCGCGAATTCGCCCTCCGTGTTCCACCCTTCCCCGTTCTTCCGCCATGCTAACGAACAACCCCCGTTCACGCGCCACCGAATCTTTAATCGTTCTCCACTTCTCGGCCCGTCTTCAAACTTCCTTCTGCTGCTTCGACGGGCAACTTTCCGGCTACCGTCGACGTTCGCGATGGCTGGTAGCCGATGACCTTGAGCAGTGGCATCGAGGCTGAAGACGAGGAAGCAAGAAGCGGCGCGCGAGGAGGAGGAGGAAGACGCGAAAGGAGCGGAGAAGGGAGTTTGGTAAAAAGCGTTTAACGATCCCGGTCGGTTCGGCTGGCGGCGGCGTCGTCGTCGGCGAAACAGCGAAAGCTTGGCGCTCGATAATTTGTGGCTCGCGAGCCACCGGCGTGGAACCGGCCTCGGTGTAATTACCAAGGTAAATAATGCTCGCTGGCCGTCCAATGGCGTGGCTCGGCTCGCGAATAAATTCGGCCGCACATACGTGGCCGGAGTGCGGAATGTCGGTTTCCGGGCCCTCCTCTCCTCGGTCCGCAGGAAAACGAAGAGATCGTTACGATAATCACGGATCGGTTTTTTGCCGGCCAGAGATTTGTTTCCGCGGCCGGAATACGTTTCCGCCGTTCGCCAGCCGCACCGACGTTTCTTGAAATATACGACCGGCGGCGAACGAGGGGGCGCGTTCTCCTGGAGAACGTCGAAGACGGCGGTACGACCGTCGATCTTCCTCTCCGTTTTTCGACCCCTTCTTTCGGATAATGGCTGGCCTGCGTTGGGGGTCTAATTGGTACCGTGAATCGAAAATGCGTCGAAGATGCTGGTGCAAGCTTCCGCTCCTTTCCGTGATTAAATATTCGGTAGCTTGGGAAGATTATTTTGTATCAGGCTGACGAGTAATCGCTGCTGTCTTATTTTTCAACGCGTGTAATGTAATATTCGATAATTGATAATCGATCAACTGAAATTACACGTGTAATTGAAATCTAAATTTTGTTGCTCGTGTCTTGAGAATTTATGTACATCGCGGAGCGCGAAGTCGAGGATTCGGTACCCCCTGAAGGAAAACTCGATTTTGTTAATACAAATTACTATATTAGTTTATTTGTAACGAATAATATTTTAACAAAACATTCACTCACACGCTCCTTACGCTTTCTCCAAGCACACTGAACTCTTCTGTTTCTCCTGTTCTCCACCTCTGTACCGCTTCCCCAGAGTAAAGAACCGGGATCTCTATTAGTTTCTAATTCCAGTAGATGGTGTTGGCTGCGCAAAGAGGAAATACAAGGCGATTCACCCAGCACCCCCGTTTTAAGCCGAATTACCCATTTACGCGAAATCTCTTCATCCGACGCATACTTTGCAAATTAACCGAGGTGCGGGAGTCTCGTGAACCACCCATTGCAACGCAGCGTCGCTCTTCGAAGAGACCCATCGAAATTCCTAAAAGGTCATCGATCTTGCACTTCTTATCCCCGATTGAATCGCGCCGGCACCCCCATTCACGCGTCCTCACACCACGAACGACTAATCCGAGTCACCTCGACGACGTCGCCCAGAGCGCGAATTACGGCGATCCGTCGCGAAAGAAAGAAATCTTAGCCTCCGAGTGGGTAATTCCCGCGGGGGGCGCGCAGGTTCGCCACGGGAAGACCCTGTCGGCCGATCGCGGCCGGTTTTTGCGTGCGATCCCGGGTAACTCGAGCCGGGGGCGCGAGAGATGCGAGAGGAAGTCTTACGAACTCGCCTTAAGCTCGCCCGTGCCTCCTTCGTCCCGCTAACGAGGCACGAACGAAGAAACTAGCTAGTCGGTAATTGGATCGGCCGATCCGCTCCTTTATGCGGCCGACTTCTCGACGGGCAAAAGCGGTCTTCCTCAAAACCACCGGCGTTGCGCGCCAAGACGAAGCCGGGGGTCACGGTAACGTTATTAACCCGTAATCGAGCTCCGGGCAAACAATGAGAGCCAAGGCTGCTCCTTCCACCTCGGCAGTCCCTTCCCCGTCGCTCGACTCGCGATCGTGCCCTCCGGGGGCCTGGTTAACCCTCCGCGTGGCCAAACTTCGCCACCCTCGATCGAAAGTTTCGTCGGCCGCGTTATGCAAACTCCTTGTTTCCGGTGTGGGAAACCGGCCGCCGCTTCCGAGTCTCGTCGAATCGGAAGTCTTCTTAACGCTTCGACCCAAGCGATCCAACTTGGCCTGCCAGTTTGATTTTCGTTTCTTACGCTTCGCACGCTCCGGGCCCTCTCTTCCGGTTTCGGGGAGTGAGAATCGCGCGATAAATATTTACGTTTGTTCGCGGTGATACGTATCGGTGTATCGATCGCGGCGACGATCGAATTGCACGCGTGAAAAGGGTGGCGAGGGGTTGTGTATCGCGGGCAATCAGGATGTTTCGATATTACGTTGCCGCGGCCGGTGAGCACGGTTTTTCTCGTTATACCGTAGACGCGGCCCGGAATAACGAGATTTCGCGATTGACTTTGAACAGGGTTCGACGACAGGAAGCGAACTGGTCGGGAACAGCAGCGCTGGCGCGACGGTGATGAGCCGACGCGCCGAAGGGATTTCCATAACTGAGTCGACCGGACGCGGAGTTGCCTTGTCGGCCGAGCTGTCGCTGCAACCGGTGCAAGCGTATTCGATTTTCACGGGTCACATCGCCGGAAACTTATTATTCTCGGACGGGGAAGAGACAGGCAGAAGTTCCGCGGCAAGGTGGAAAGAGCGAACGGTCGATCGTCAATGGGAAAACGACCGTCACGAGAGACCGTATACCCTCCGTTCGATTCGTGAAAATAAAGCTTTCTCTTTCCGTGTGGCTCCACCGGCAAACGGGATCGCGAGTTACCTCTGCGGAATAATTATTGTCCTGCTATGGCGTCGCTCTGTGTATCGAACGCGCCAGCGTTTTTGCCTTTCCTATCTCTGTCGGGGAACCGATATTTTCGGGCTGGAGAATCGAGCTTGTGGTTCCCCAGTCTACCAGAATTCGAATAACCATTTCTAAATTTTTTATCAAAAATTTTGCGTTATCGGTTTGCTCGCTCTACATCTCCATTTTTCTATTAACCCCCGCATTAGCAGTTTTTCGATATTGTACCTTATTTCCTTCCCTTTGAAGCCCTTCTTTTATTTTTACATTTATGGTCGTAATAACTTTATCATCGAGTATTCTACGAAATTAAAGAAATTAAAGAAATATTAAAATATTAAATTCTCCCTTTTAACCTCGGCGAATAAACTGCCTCGAAGTAGACATCGTGATTCGAGCGATTTAAAAGTTCGATACAGCAGCCGATTGCAAAGTGAACCGGGGATAAGATTTCGTAGGAGAAGCTTTAAAGCAGATTTAATTACTGGAGCTTGCAGCCCGAGTAGGTTCCCTCTATCGAAGACGCAGGATTGAAAGACGGTGGTAGGGGTACGTTACGGATTCGCCCCAATAGAAACGGTTTTCTGAACTTTCTTAGTCATTCCGGCGTTCACGGGCGGTAGGTGGCCGTCGTATGTCCCATTGTCGAGGAAGAGATCACGATTTCGTGACTTCGTGAGCGTGGCTTCGTGAACGGTGGGCGTATCGATCGTCCGCGCTCGATGCCAATAAGATCCTTAGGTAAATCCTAAGCCGATGAGACGAAGTCGGAGATCAGCGAGCAAAGACCTAAAGACTCCGGGCAACGGGCTAATCCTAATTGAGTCGCCTTATATAAGTCGAAGCATTCGCTTCTCCACCCTCGCTCCGTCCCAGTCTCCTACCCCTTCCGCCTTCTGCTCCTCCTAATTCCCTCCCCCATCTTTGTTTTCCTTGCTTATCCCGTCCCTTTTCCATTGTTTTTTCCTTTCCTCGTCGCTGGCTTCCGTTCTATTCGTTTTCTTGCTGTGCTTATTTCATCCCCGCTTTTCTCGCAGCTCTCGTTTCACGCTTCCCTTAAAGCCGATCTCGCAATTATTTCAACCGTATTTTCCCCGTAAAAGAGCTGCGGAAATTGAATAAAACGCGACCGAATTCTAAAAGCAGTTCTTCCATGCACCCTCCACGCGGAGGTATATTTTCCCAAAAAACGTAAACGAGGAAGATTCCACGGAACGAGACGCGGTCTATCTTCTATCCGATTCCTGCTCCACTCTTCCTTCTTTTCTCCACTCCGGCCACTTACTCGCCCAAGCACCCCGTCTATCGATCTATTTTCCAGCCGATGGCTCGGATCCACGCGAAACGAGAGAGATCTCGGTGGAGTGTCGAGTCGCAGGGACAGATCGCGAAATTGATTTCACGGTTGTGCAGCGAGAAACGATCCGTGGCCGGGCGTCGTACATCAAATCGATGGAACGAACCAATCGGACGGTCAGCAACATCCAACTCTTATATCATCCAGCACGGGCGATAGCGTCGCGACGCGTGCTCCGATTAAAGACCAACCCGACCGTGTTATCGAGGGTCGTTCCACCCCTTCGCCGCGCGTGTGCACGTCGAGATTGCCGATAATGCTCATTAAAGAGTTTACGACGCCTAGACCGGCAGACTGTACCGCGGAATTATACGATACCGCTTAATATCTTGCAGCCAAACGCGATAAATCTGCTTTCGAAAATTTCCAGTTCCTCTGTCTCCACGACGGACCTGTCGCGAGGGTAGGTCCAACTTGTCCAATGATCCTTTAACGGCGAGGACAGAGGGTTTTTCCACGCGTTTTCTCGCAAGAGTGACGCTGGAGAGTACTGTAACATCTTATTCGCGAAGCATGTATAGATCATAAGCTCGGGGGGTACAGCGCGGTCGTCCACAGACGGGCCCCGAAATCGCACACGATACTTATCTCGGCGACGAAGTCGCTAGGCACTAGCCTGGACCATGAAGAGACGAATAGTCGCGCACTTAACGTGAAATTCCGCATGACCGTCGTTACCGAGAAGAATCATCGGAAGACGTTTCCCGCGTTTTATTCCGAGCTATGAATATCCTCTAAATTAACGGGAAATGGCAGCAGCGAGAGATGGAGCCAAAGTGGCCATAAAGTCTCCGGTTCCCCCGCGTTCATCGTCGCAACTTTAATCGGTAGGAAGTCGAAAGATTCGCCGATCCTAATGGCAAACGTTCCAAGAGGAGACTCGCGTCCCGTTTGATCGTTTGATCTTGCCAGGGGTGAGTCTCGGCGACAATCGCGTCGCGACGCGACTTTTCGACGTGTCCCCGTCGGTCGGTGTTCCTTGGGAGGGCAGCGCCGGTGGAATTTAAGGTCCAGGAGAGGCTGTGTGTGATCCTTTGATCCATTGTCTCGACGATGGCGAGGAGAGGCGGCGTCGGAGAGCGAGAGAGCCTCCGGGGAGCGTGGCCGTCGCGCCGGCGGAAAGGCGAATTCTAATTTGACGAATGAGAAAGTTTCAAGGAAGAGCGATGCCTCGAAACTCGCGCCGCTGATGCGCGACAAAGGGCGTCAAAGACGGCGAGTCTGAGCTATTACGATATGTAAAAAAAAGGAAGAAAAAAAGGAGAGCGAGAGAGAGGGAGAGGAAAGTGGTCGAGAGGGGAAGAAGGAAAAGGAAAATACGGTACCGTTCATCGAAGAGAAGTCTGTGTGTCGGACTGAAAGGAAAAGGGGAAGGAAAAGAAGAGAGGGCCGAGCTCGTTTTCTCTCTGTAGTCGAAACTGACTGAACCAACGGGGAAGAAATTCAAAGGGATTCTTGAAAAAGTTGCTTCGAGTTTTGCGGTGATCGATGCGAACTTCTCTCTTTTCCTTCCAGCGCTTCCAAAACGACGGAAACAAAAGGAACGTTGTTCGAACATAAAACGAAAGCCTGATCAAGGTCTTTTTTCCCTCTCCCCCCACTCTCCCCCTTACCCCTCCTCCTTTATATATTATCTTTTTTTTTCCTTTTTGGAACAGCTGGTAATTGCTTTTTCGTTTCAGAATTCCCGTGGCCCGGACTGGACTGGACTGTGGACTGGACGGAAAGGCGAGGGGGCTTTGAAGTTACAGCGTGGCCCCGGTTATGCGCGAAATTTCACAGGTGATTACATTTGTCGAGAATTACCGCGTAATCGTGTTCCCTGTTATCGCAATTAGATGAAAAGCTTTTAATTTCACGGGCACTTGATCCCGCCGAAAGGGCAGATTTTACAATGGCGTCTGCTTTCATCCGAAACTACCCGCGATATTATATGGGCTCGATTGTGTACAGGTGATCGATAGTAAAGCTGCTAAACATCGAATCCGGCCGCTTTAAACGTAATCGCTTTTATCCAAAATTACAATATCGAATTTTCAAACTTTCCCGGCGAATCGTCCCGATCTCGTCGCATAAAGGATCCAAGTTTCCCCGACCTATCGGTTCCCTTCGATATTTCCAACACCGCCCCTTGCAATCCACGCGTAATCCCTGCGAAACTTTCTGCGCGCAAATTCTCCTGAATACGATATTTCCGCTCATACCGGTATGGGTACCCCACTTGTATACCGGTATTACATTCGACAGTGGAAGAACACATTTCGTAATTTATTTCCCTATTTTATCAAAAATTCCGCGTTCGGTATTATCTTCTTAATCGCTCGACTTTGTCTATTTTCTTCTTCTTCTTCCGTATTGTTATCCAGCGATTATTCGATCATTCGTGGTAGGTTAACCACTTGCGGTAGCAAGAAATTCACAGACGCGTGTGCCAGAACGGTCCAGAGTTTCTGTAACAATTGCCTAACGACGTGTGTACCACGTCGTTGGCGATTCTGTGACAAAAGCATTACGACGTGCGTAACACGTTTTTCCAACGCAAGTGGTTAAATATTCAAAATTTACGTCGTATCCATTCAATCCCTATTTAGAATGAGAAAAGGATCTCAAGGACGATGTGGCCGATTTTATTCGACTAACTAATATTTTGTTTAATAATTATCGCGGGAAATACGCGCGTATAATAGGAAGAGGAAAAGTGGAGAGTTAGATCAGCGCGAGAACTGCGGAGAAAAATGAACCCCTCACTATACTGGATGGAGAGAGACAGCAGAGAGACGGCGACTGGAATAATTAGCCGGGATTTTTCTTCGTCCCCGTGAAACATTACGAAATCAGCTTTTCGACGGGGTTGCACGCGAGAGGTACGAAGTGCGAACGAGTCCAGGCGGCAAGGCGCCGTCTCAACGAGCGACTAACGACAGCCACTTTGCGACGCCCACGCCCGGTGCACGCTGCTCGAACGGTTATTAATTACGAGGCAGCGGGTTTTCGTGTTCTTCTCCGCCCCCGTGTTGCTCCGTGTCGTGTTCCCTTGGTCGTTCGACGACGACGACGACGACGACGACGACGACGACGACGACGACGACGACGACGACGACGGCGGCGATGGTGCCGTTTTCGAGCTCACCTCCGTCACTCTCTTGTCCAGCGCCGTGAATCGTTCCTGCTCCCCTGTTTCAGGTGCTTTTATTTTCTTTGCTCGCTCATCGACATCGTAATGGCCCGATGTAGCTCCCAGCGTCGTCTTTGACGTGCTTTATCGTCTGCCCGTGGACGGCTGAATTCGCAGTGAGAATTATGGCGAGTACGGGCTTGGATTTATTTCCAAAGTTTGAATAATAATGCTAGTAGAATAATAGGGACGAAGGAAAGAAGGTGAATAACGACGCGACCATAGGAGGATGGATTACGATTTCGATAGTATCGTCGAGTGTTTTGGGCATGGTCAACTTTTTGGACTCGGGTTATTTTACGTAGGAAATGACTAATCCTTGACAGTTAAGTTGACGAATTCCTACGACAAATGTCGTCGAGAGTCCTTCCCATAAAACGGAGCGTGATGGCGAAGGTAGAAGCATTCTTTAGCATTCGGGATCAAATATTTCAAAAAAAAAAGGGGAAAGAAAGAAAAAATTGACCATCGCAATAACGCTTGTAATTCTTTGCGAATGCAGCTAAGCGAAACGATAGCATTTGTCTTAATTTTTGTGGCCAGTGACTATAGTCACCCATCGTGTATAGGTGTCGTCTCGTAGCCGTTGACTATAGTCACTCGTAGTAGCAAACGGGTTAAAGTTTATTATTAGATTTCTTCGTAGCAGATGGTACCCCCTCCTTTTGGACCCAAATTCGGAATTTTTCTAATCTCCGTCTTCGTAAATCTTTGGACTATCAAGTTCCTGTTGATCTTCGAAAAATTTGTAAGTTTATTTGGAGTAAAAAGTATTGTATAAGTTTAGATTCATATCGAAGTATAAACAATTATAAAATTCTGTTTCCTTAAATCGACTTGAAATTTCGCGTTTCTCTCCGTCGACGTTACCCATTTACGATTTGCCAGGGTTCCAAATTCGATGCTATTTTCCCGGCATCAGCAAAGCAAAGGCAAAGATATCCTCTTTTCAGACATTGTTACAGACAGGAGATTCTACGTCCTCAAAATGGAAGTTAAGCCGCTTCATCGCGATCGAAATCGGAACGAGCTGTACTTGGTCCCTCTTGGCTCGCGATCTTTTCGATTCTCTTGGAATCGTAAACAATGGAAACATCCCCGAAGCGACTACGAAGTGAGAGAGTAACGCGAAACGGGAAACGAGGTGCGAGCAGTGTCGCGTGACTCGAACAGTCTCCAAATACGTTTCCTACCCCTCGCTGCTCGAGTTTCCTCCGCCACCCCTCGTCCAACCCCCGTCGCGATCTTCCGCGATACTTTGAACGAGCTTTCCGAAGACGATGGAGGACGAATCTCGTTCTCGTTCTCGAAGACAACGAAGCAGCGAGTACGGGGAGGTCGCAAATTGGACGAGACCGAGGACCAACGTAAGCGGCTTCCTCGTCGACGAGAACCGGAAGAAAGGCGGTCGGGATTCCGAGGTCGGGCAATTTCGCGTTTCCCTGAAGATCGAGACCTCGATCCCTCGATCGGATCGATACCAATCGGCGAGGCATCGATGCCCGTCCGCCCGTAAAATTGATTCTGTTTCCATCGTCTCCCCAGGGTCGTGAAGCGAGACGCAAAATCTCGTGGGAACCGAAAGGTGATTCCTTGTCTTCCATTCTCTCTCGCTCTCTCGCTTTCTTCCTTGTTTTCCAACCTCGACTTCGTCTTCATCTTCATCTTCGTCTTCCTCTTCCTTTTCCTCTTCCTCTTTCTTCCACGACTGATTTCCAGGGGACACGGGACACTTGCGCGTCTCTCGTGTTTTATTTCTTCGCCGTTCGTTTTGCCTCGCTTCTCGGCTTCCTCGCGGTTTCTCCGCTCGTCTCGAAGCTGTTGTTTGCTTTCCCGAAAGCAAGCCGCCGTTTGTAGCCCCGGTCTCCTTTCGCCGGCCCGATAAGGCTCGTCCCTCCGCGACCACCGCGACCCTTCGGCTGCCATTTTAGAAACGATAAGTTCTGCCCGCCGATGACCGACTGTTTGCTTTTCCCTGGCTCCTACGCTCACCTCGTACCTGCCACTCCGTTTGCCGAGACAATAAAGCCGCGCTGGGAACGTTTGCCTCGTTTCGAACACGGTGACACGTATCGATGACTTAAGGGGAACCTGGTTCAAGCGTCTTCGAGGACGTTTCCAACGGGGTGCTGCGAGGGTTGTTTGTTCTTTGTACCCGGGAATGGGGAACTGTTTGTCGTCAGGGTCGAGATTGTTTCTTATCGTGGAAAGTTGGCCGACGAGAAGATGTTTAATTGGGGACGAATATCGCGCATACCTCCTTAGCAAATAATTTTATTATTCCCGATATTGTCGTCGATACTTTTCATTCGAGAATTCTACCTCGGTTTGCCATTTTCTATGGTTTATTATACATATATAACGAACTTGTCAACGCGTCTGCTTTTGGGTATTTTGTTTTTGTAATTATTGGGAATATCCAGTAGCTTTTAGCAAAATTAATGTCGACCATTATTCAAGTAACAGCGCAATTATATATAGCTGTTTATTTTCATTCCTGTCACTTTTATTGCTATTATTTATGCACGTTGCGCTCAAGTACAGCCTGCAGCTCGGTAATTCTTGTGTTAATCGTACTGTTATGGAGTGCTCGCGGGAACGTTAACACATTCTCGAAGTACCTCCATCGTGCACATTCCAAGAACTCTGTGGAACACTTGAAACCATTCCAAAACACCTTTATCGCTCCTCTGAAATTCCTGTCGTCCACATACCTACGTAGAAATTTACCCAAGGCTTTAAACCATTCCCGAAACACTTTTATCTATCCTCCGATACTCTTATCGTCCAAAAATTGTCGTTCGTACTTCTCACGGTTGTCTTTTCAACGGTGTGCATCGTCAAGTCTGTAGCATGTCAAATCAGTAGTCTCTTTGTAAACAAATTTACAACCTGTGAATTTGAAAAAAACCTCTTTGGAATAAAATTTTTGTTCTCTAAAATTTATTTTCAATTTCTACCGTGGTTCCCCGATTATGTTTGCTACGATAAATCACGCAGAGACGGATTGTTATGCAGCTGTGACAGTACCCACTGACAGATTCTTGATTCAACGTGGATTGATTATTAGTCCATTGACAAGGAGTCGTGAATTTATCGAAATTAGGGTTTGGAAGACAGCTTCCGAAAGCATTTACGCGACGATGAACGGGAATGGAGCGGATTATCGAGTCGGGAGTTAAAAATCGGTTGCTGGAATAGCTGACGGTGTAGTCAGAGGGAAGCGTTAAGCGGGGAAATGTACATAAACCGCAGTTTTTCTCGGCTTTAACGCGCGAATGTCCGCTCGAATAGATTTCTCTGCTCGGTGCCGAGGAAGCAGATTGTATCGCGCCCGCGTCGAATCGCTCGTATCTCAGGAATACGATTCTTTAATGATGCTTTATGCGGCCCGTGCGTGGCAGTGGGTTTTCAATTGGAAAAAGTATTGTGTCGGAATTTGCGAGCTGTTGCGAACGCGCTGGTTATGTCCCGGTAAAGAAACATTATTTCCTTTCGAATGGCGCCACTTTCTCGACGCTGATTTCGAGTTATTTCGCTCGGCGAAGCGCGCACGAGGGTAGAGGGATGAGCAAACGTTGGAGAATCGAAATTAAATAAGACGGTG